CTAGTATTGGCTGAACTCTGATTGTCAAAGGAAGATTATCATCCAGTAGACAAATACATGTATCCTGGGCCCTCCAAACTGAATCTAATCAGTTCCAAAGTTTCAACTGTGACTTCCCTCCAAAGAGCCTGTCGCAAAAAGACTTTCTAAATTATTCAGTTCTTGAGTTGGACAGTGAGAGTGTGGATAACAAGGGAATACGTGTCCTGGAATAACACCCACACAGAAAAGGGGAGTAAGAGACTGAGGTAATAGGGGACCTAGAAAAATGTGTTACTAGACACAGAAAACAACTAGCCTCGTCTCCCACGTGGAAAGACTACAGGACAAGCTGTATCTGTGCTGAGTCCATACTCACTTTAGTTACCCCAAATACAAATACCATGAGTACAAATCTCCCTGCATGGGAAATTAACTGTTCTTAATAGACATTTCTGTGGGAAAAATGCGGCCTGAGTTTCAAACAGCCAACTCATGAACTTGGGGAACCCAGCCCATGTGGAAGTTCAGGTTGCTGTGACATTCTAAATGTTCCTTAGCAAAAAAGTGGACTTCTCTGTAATTCTTGCAGAACTGTCTTGTCTCCCATTGTAAAAATACTATATATGGATAGATTTTTTTCATTTTAAAAAGTTGACTCCCTACTGTAATTTGATCCAAATTTAATACCAAACAATATAATAACGCTTGAAATCTCATTTCCTTTTTGACTTTTATTGTTTTTTAGTGTCGTTACTCCCTCTACAGGTAGAAAATGTGAATGAACTAATTCTGGCAGGTTTCTGAACTAAACCAAAAACACAAGTTAAAGAGAAAAAAATTAACTTCCTCCTTGGGAAAATGTTAACTTAACTAGAAAAAACACTGTAACTTTTGCAATAAACAGTGAGTTTCCTATTGTCATTCAAGTACCCCAAGAAGCCCATCAAACATTTAATAGAAGGATCACATAACCACTTATGAGACTAGCAATATGGAGCATAATATTTATGTGAGCAAATAAGAATTATGGAATCAACAGGCTCAACTTTACTTGGGAGCACAGGATGCAGATGAGAGTCACGTGAGTAGGAGATACAGTTTAATATGAGATTTGATATAAAAAATGCATGAAGCAAGGGGACAGTGCTTTTTCTTGTAACGGTACAGCACACAGTGTTTGGGAGGTCTAATATTCAAACACTGTGGCTCATAAATAGATGACAGGTGACAAGATCTAATTTCACCTCCTCTAACCCACAGAGTAAGAGCTCTGGCTCATTCAGATCATTTACCCTTCTGTTATCCCAGAGAATCTCAACTCCGACAGCATACTACAATCATTTGGGGACTCTTCAACTGGTAGTTTTAAAAAGCTACTTGCTAAAATCATAAAACTCTCAGAAGAAAACACAGGCAAGAGTTTCATGACATTAGATTTGGTAACAATTTCTTGACTATGACACCAAAAGCACCGGCAATACACAGGAAAAAGAGCCAAACTGAACTTCATCAAAATTACAAACTTTGTACAGCAAAGAACACTATCAAGAGTAAAAAAGGCAACCCACAGGATGGGGGAAAATACGGGCAAAGTATATACTGAGAGGGGATTAATACCCAGAAGATACACACGTGAACAGATGGTCCTCAACATCATGAGTCATTAGGGAAGTGCACATCAAAACTACAATGAGATACCATTTCATACCCATTTAGGGCGGCTATTATCATAACAAAACAACAACCAACAGAAAAAACAAGTGTTGGTGAGAATGTGGAGAAACTGAACTCCTGATGAATTGCTGGTAGGAATGTAAACTGGTTCAGCTGCCAGGGAGTAATCGTAGGGGGGGTCCTCAAAAAACTAAACAGAATTGCTCTATGATCCGGCAATTTTGCTTCTGGGTATATACCCGAAAGAACTCAAAGCAGGAAAAGATACAGGGCACCCGCAGCAGCATTATTCACATCGGCCAAAAGGTGAAAGTAGCTCAAAATGTCCACTGATGAATGGATAAACGGTATGTGGTATGTCCACACAATGGAATACCGTTCGGCCTTAAAAAGGAAGGAAGTTCTGGCACATGCTGAAACGTGGATGACTTCAGGACATTATACTCCGTGAAACAGGCTAGATACAAAGGGACAAATACTGTATGACTCCACTTATTTGGGGTACCTAGATCAGTGAAATTCACGGACACAGAGAGGAGAATGGTGGTTGCCAGGGGCAGGTGGTGAGTCAGTGTTTCACAGTACAGAGTTTCAGTTTGGGAAGATGTAAAAGTTCTGAGGCGGATGGCGGGATGGTTGCACGACAGTGCGAATGTGTCTGACGTTCACAGATGGTTTATGGTAAGTTTTGTTGTGTGCATCTTACCACAATAAAAAACAAAAGCCACTCAGGCGATTCCAATTAGCAGCCAGGGCTGAGAGCCAGTGTTGCAAAGACCAAGGAAATACGTCATGATCCCGAGAGTGTGCCCAACTGACACAAGAGTATGTCTGTTCAGAGTGTATGTTTCTGATGAGAGGATGAGAAAAACAGGTGATCGGGGAGGTGTGTTTATAAATTAAGTTCTATCATTTCACAAATACAGGAGCTTCTATACTGTCCTCTAGGGAAAACATATCCTCTCTCCATACTGGTCCTCTTCAAGGTGTTAGGAGCATTTACATTCTCCTCACAACAACTTTGCGATAAGTCACAGACACAGGACGTTATCGAAGGTTTGTGGGCTAGAGGTACCGTGTTAAACGCGGAACCCCCAGACTCGTCTACGCCTCGGAACCGTCGCCGGACAGCTGGTGAGTGGCAGGGCCGAGACTAAACCCGGTCCGTTTGATTTGCTCTCTCTCTCTGAGCCCATTAACTGAACACTACCTACACATTCCCACTGCTGTGTCTTTGGCGCTCTGGCCACCTTCTGCTCAACTCCCACCATCGAAGCTTCTTGGACTCCGAAGTCCAGTTTACGTGCTACATCATCGGAGCGTTTCCTGAAGTCATCCAACCAGAGAGCCAGCGCGTTCAATCTCCACCTTTCTCGTGAGAAGGTTGCACTGTCGTTATTTACGTCCCCGCGGCGAAAGCCCTGGGACAGTGCCGGGCTAGGAGGCCTGTTGGCTACCGCAAGCCAGCACCGGATGAAGACACTACAAAGGGAGGCCGCTGCCAAACGAACGAGACCTCCGGAGACCCGGGATGGTCTGAACGTGTGTGCGCAGGATGGAGGGCAGCGCCTCTGGCCTGAGGCGGGAGGCACGGGCCTGTGGGAAGCCGGCACAGGAAGAAGGAGAACAAGAACTCGCAAGTTCCGCTCCGGCTGCTCCCTCGGCCAATTGCCTTGTATTTGGTATACGCTGCCTCACTTCCAGAAACCGGGAACTCTGGTCAACGTTCAGTCGTTAGGGCAGTCTGAAAAGAAATCCCGCGTGACGAGCTGAGAGGAACAGGTGGCCACGAGTCCCTGACAGCCACCGTCTCACTCCTCCCTCTCCACACCCGAGAGCTGATGAATGACACTCGGGGATGAAAGAGCCCGTGAATCCGCTTCGGTCCAGCCCCTCCCCAAGAGCGAGGAGTTGCCTCCTGACGTGGTGTTTGGTAACAATGAACTGCGGTCTTGTGGTTCCTGGGCTGGCAACCCCACAGCTCACCTGACACTCTCGTCCCCTGAGGTTATCACCGGGGCTAACGTAGCGGTGAGCAGCGCTAGGCTGCCCGGGCTCCACCTTAGAATGATCTGGCAGCTTTACGAACCTGGTTAGATCAGTTTCTGAGGTGGGGCTTACATAGCCACAGTTTTTCTAAGGGTCCCCAGTGACCCTAGGGTACAGCCAGAGTCGACGCTAGTTTCTAGCCTGGCCTGTCTCCTCCACGTTACTTGAGAACAGTCAATGCACGCTAAGACATTTGAGGACCGCCAGTATTTCATGGAAGAAAAACAAAATGGATTCTAAATTACATGAAATGCAGAATAAACTTATAATAACAGGAAGAGATATTATTACAGTATAAAAGAAAACAAAAACAGTACAGAAATTTTAAGTATAAAGAACACGATACATGAACTAAAAAAACACAAGGAATACACTCTCAGGAATGAACTAGTTGGAAGCCCAGATCTCCCAGAAGAAAAAGGAAGAGAAAAAGCGCCAGAAAATAGAATTATAAAAGACTCACACACGCGTAAGTGATGTCCCAGGAAAAAAAACCAAGGTGGTGTGAAATTTAATTGAATAGGTAATGGGAGATAATTTCTCCAGAATCAGATGACAAGGCTGAGCACGACAGGGTCAGCTCTCAGAGTATCAAATAGGAGAGAAAGGAAAACTCCAGACCTAGTTATACTAGTAAAATCAAAACATGAAAGACAAAAGATTTTCAACAGAACGCTCACCACACAGTAAATACGTAGTGTTTATAAAAAGCAAATCAACAAAAACATGAAATAAAGCCACCATCAAATCCTCACAAGGCAGCTGTACCAAATCCAACTCTACCAGAGAAAAAATAACATTACTAAAATAAGTGTTTATGGTAAGAATGGAATGAGGACATTTAACTGTTAGTCTAGCTTCCCACACTCCAAGACTATGGTTAAAACTGTTTCTGGCCAAATTAAGGTTTCATCTGTCTATGTATGTCTATGTAGGGTCCTCTTCTGAGGAATACCTAAAAACTCGATTCTCAAGGTAGGCTTCAGTAAAGACAGATCTTGCCTAGTTTCGGTATGCACATTTGAAACACAACACATCCGGTCATCCTTCCAGAACATATTAAAAGCCCCGAGTATTCTATTTATGTATATGTACGCCAGGAGCTGTGGAGATGAAGTGCATTAAACAGGCAAGGATTTAACTACCAAACACCCCCAGTTTTCTACTATTAGCATAAAAGCCAGACACTTTTCATAAATATGTTCTCAAAGAAATGCCTTGTATTTTTTTCTGCCCATTTTTCCTAATAGTTATGCCACAGGCTCAGAGAAGTTCTGCAGTAGTGGCTTACTTACCTGGTCAATATCAGCATTTCTTGGAAGGAAATAAACAATATTATTAGTGATCTTCTGGGAACGCCTGAAAATTTCAAAGGTGGACAGCAGTTAAGGAATGGTAACAAAAAGAGCAGTTCATTTCTGAGCAGAGATATGTTCTTGCATCATATCCCAAATATATTTTGGTAAGTAACAATAAGACACACATTTAGATCCTCTAATGGAACCTAAAAGAGAATTAAGTAGGAGATTTTGTAATTCAGATGGGTCAAAGATTAGCAGTTAAAACTGTTCATTCGATTATCCTTGTGGAAGGCAGCCAGGGGTCAGAAATACACTGTCTTTCTACCATTTCCTAATTACTGTGAGAGTAGAAAGAAGAGGAAAGCACAATACCACCTCTTTCCAGAAAAGAATAAAAGACAAGTAAATCTGGTCATTGTGGTTTACATCCTAAATTTTAATTAGCAGTTTAGAAACACGCTTCCTGTTAGAGTCAAAGAGGTGATTCCTCTGGGGAGGAGAGATAAAGAAAGGGACAAATAATAAATATTACCATGAAAGAAAAATTTGCTTCGGTGTCTTGGAAAAGTGAGAGGAAACACTGGAAGAGACAAAGAGAATCAGCTCAAGCCAGTGTAAGTTGAAGAAAAGTTAAAGGATGGTCACCCAGACTCGTAAGGACAGGTCTTGAGGAATCTCCCAATGTCCAGGACCATAATTTCAAGCAATTAATACTTCCTACTTCTTGTTTTATGATGATATAATTGGACAGTAACCAAAGGAAATATAACTTCACATTGGCCATTACTCTTGGCAATCAACCAGCACTTAATGTTTACATACTGGCTTTTTATGCAAAATAAACCGGAACCTATCAGGTGCTACTAGTGAGTATCTCCCCCCTTCACTAACCTCTCTCTCCCTGAAACACACACACACACACACACACACACACACACACACATAAACACACACACACACTCATTCATATGTACGCCCTTCTCTCTACAACCGCTGTTTGAGTAAACTGCCAGCCTTGCAAAGGATATCCATCTGGAGACATCATGGTCCTAATGTCAAAGGTCTCTGCGGTAGCGTAGTCTGGTCCTCCCCAAGGGGGGCTAAGAAACACAACATCAGCCTTTAAGTGAGAAGCCAGCAGGAGGAAATCTCCACAGATGAACTCTATCTTGTCTGCTATTCCATAAACTTCTGCATTATTGCGAGCAAGATCGATCTTAACAGGATCAATATCAATGGCAATCACTGAAAGTGGGAAAAGAAGAGAGGAGTTAAATGACACCGACTGTTACATAGAACAGTTCATCTTCTGAGCAGTCTCCTTTCTTCTCTTTACAAGAACTTTTTTTAAAGACTAAGGGAGGGGCGCCTGGGTGGCGCAGTCGGTTAGGCGATCGACTTCAGCCAGGTCACGATCTCGCGGTCCATGAGTTCGAGCCCCGCGTCAGGCTCTGGGCTGATGGCTCGGAGCCTGGAGCCTGTTTCCGATTCTGTGTCTCCCTCTCTCTCTGCCCCTCCCCCGTTCATGCTCTGTCTCTCTCTGTCCCAAAAATAAATAAAAACGTTGGAAAAAAAAAATTAAAAAAAATAAAGACTAAGGGAGTTTGGTTCATATACCAGGGATAAAAACTTAATTAAAAAATTTAACCTAACGTAGAAAGATGCACTTGTGTAGTACCAAGAAAATGGGACTAAATGGCCTGGCTTTCAAAGCTGTGTCACTCAGCCAGCTTTTCCAAAGCAAGTAGTGACAGGAGTCACACAGTACCTACTGAGAGGTAACGTGTTCAGCACTGTGGCCTGAACGCCCTGAGCAGCAAACACTTGGAAAGGTCGCTGACTGTGTGTCAAGCCTGTAACCACACTAGGATTTCAGAAAAGACCCATTTCCTAAAATGAGACACGGCCTCCAAAGACAAATTTGACAACTTCTACAGAAGAGCAAATTGAAACACATTTGACAAACCTATAGAGCCAACTTATGAACAAGAAATGTAAAAACATCTGCTGATAACGTTTAATGAGACATCTTAGGGGGGAGGGAACTGACAACGTTATGTTTTCACCGAGAGGGCTTTCATTTAATTTACTGCAATTTCATAATTAGCAATGCAAACATAAGTTGATTTGAGCTCACTCATGATGTCTTACAGCAAATAACTCAAGTGCACCTGTACGTGCACCAGTGTGCTCGTGGCAATATTTTATATTTGCAAGGTCTAAGTGGAACCCTAATGCATACACCATGGTTGTCATGGAAACACAGTTGTTTTCTACAAAATGCCGGTTTCAAAATTTGTTAACACTTTTGAGAAATAATGCACTAAATAATCACTTGAACAATGTATACGAGCTCCAATTACGTGTTGAAAATTATGCATTTACAATGCTATTTTTCTGTTCTAAATAAGCTAACGTTCATAACAAAAAAGATGAAAATGTCCTTTTTAGCTGTTCAATCTGCTCCACTTGTAGTATAGAGACAGATGGAAAGATATGCCGACAACATCAAAAACTCAATGGGGAAAAATGATTTTCAACATCAAATATACTCAATCAATTCTCACGTTTTCATCTACATTCTCCTAGAGGCTGTTTTATTTTTAGGCCTAACAGAATGTAAGCACTCAATCTATTATGTAAATGAAATGCCGACAAACGTTGGATGACATTATGTAGAACTGCACTGTCCAATAATGGTAGCCACCAGCCATATGTGGCTATTACCTTTAAATTGATTAAAATGAAATAAAGAATTCAGATCCTCAGTCACCCTGCCACATTTTAAATGCTCAATAGCCACATGTGGCTAGTGGCTATCATACCTAGACAATGCAGATACAGAACACTGCCATCATCACAGAAAATTCTATTGAATAGCAAGGATACTGAAGTAGATAGAGAGGGAAAAAATCTTTTAACGGCAAAATGCAAAACCTTGTGGATTCTCTAACACTCAGGTGAGTAGATGCATAGACCACAACCATCTGAGTGGAAGGAAGCAATGGCACAAAGGGATCATGTCAGTCATACACAACGCTATTTTCTCATATGTGTATGGGCACGTACACGTATGTGTGTGGATTCATATATATTCAGCTGAAGAATGATTACGTGCATGTGTGTGTATATATATATATATATATATATATATATATCAACACACATAGAGATATGTAAGCACACAATCAATTATACTTCAAATGTTTTGAATCCCCTAGCACGGAGCAGTACCTATAACTAACATTAGAGCATCTGCGAGCTGTTGCTGCTTGTTTGGGAAACAGGTCACAGGACACCACTACGCTGAACAGGCTTGAGGGGTCCTAGGCTTTCCATTCCAGATGCTACAAAGACAGAAGCCAGGTCATGACAGTACCAGAGAGGCATGGTGTTCGCTATCTGCTTCCCTTTCCTCCCAGAAGCTGGCTACCTGTAAGCGTGAGTGATTAAAAGACCCTAAGGCGCCTTGATGAAAGCTGGATCTGGGAGAACATGCCAGAAATAGACTTCCTTTAGCGTGGGACCCACATTGGACATTTTCCTTTACCAAATGTGTACTAAGCTGCAGAAAGCCTTGGCTACGGACCTATATTCAAAGAAATACAAATCTACAATATGGACAGTTTCCATAGTATTTGAAAAAATATCCAGATCTATTTGCTGCTTTATTGGAGAGCAGATATTTTATTTTATTTTATTTTTTTAAACGTTTATTTATTTTTGAGAGAGAGACAGAGCATGAACGGGGGAGGGGCAGAGAGAGAGGGAGACACAGAATCGGAAGCAGGCTCCAGGCTCTGAGCCATCAGCCCAGAGCCCAACGCGGGGCTCAAACTCACGGACCGTGAGATCGTGACCTGAGCTGAAGTCGGACGCTTAACCGACTGAGCCACCCTGGCGCCCCGGAGGGCGGATATTTTAATTGTCATGTTATGATGCAATATCAAAATGAAGACCAAGTTGACAACTTGAGACCAAGTTGACAATGATTTTGAAAAATCATTTTCATGCAATGTACACTGATTTGAGCTCACAGGAATGGTTTATCTGGCAAGTGCAGAGAAGAAATTGCAGAGTAAATAATGAATTCAAGGAAAACAAGAAAATAATTCCTATTCCAGTAACTCTGAAAACAACTTTCATTCAGGCTATTGGGAGACCATATAAGGTGGGCAATGCCATGCCCTGGAGCATGATTAAATAAGGGTCACAGTTCATCAGCATGGGTCTTAAAATCAATGTTAAGTTTTCCTTCATGATTTTTAGCTTCTATATTAGGCTTCCAGAATCATGCTTTCCTAGTCAACATTAAGAACTTCATATAAATTAATGAGACTTAACCTTAATTCACTGAAATGGAAACTACATGTATCATAGAAAGATGTCGGGGAAAAAAAAGCATCTTCAGAGTATGACTCAACAATTGATGTCTTTGATACTACGCTTTCAAAAGAATTTAGAAAGAACAGGGATACCAGAAAAAAAACCTTGGCTTCATGACTCAGCTATGCCAATTTGGGCAGATTGTTCAATTTTATAAAGCTTTCTTTTCCCTGGGAAACAGCACATGTACTACCTACTTGACAAAGTTCTTGGTAGATATACAGCAATAGAGGTTTTCTTTCCCGGGATTCCAAAGTCAAACATGAGGAGGACCTAACACTTGAAAGATTTTTAGAGTCTTATGATGTTAAAGCTGAAAGGTACTACAGACGTTATCTCAATTTAAGGTCTCCTTTAAACTGAGGTTAAATGATGTCCAAAGTCACAGAGGTGGCAAAGCAGGTACTCTCTGTCCACTCTTCTTCTAAAGAAGGCCTTCCCATTTCAGAATTGTTGGTTTTCTATAATGTTATTAATCTTGGCTTCACCAAGCTGTGTCTGTGTAATCCTGGGCAAATTATTTCATCTCTATTTTTCTGTTTATCTGTGAAACACAGATAGTAAAAGATATACCTCACAAGACTGCTGACTAATAAATGTATACATATTAAGCACTTATACTAGTACGTGATACAGGGTGTATGGCTTGATATATGCTGTTGTTGTTGTTGTTATTATTATTATTATTATGTATTTTTAAAAAATGTTTATTTACTTATTCTGTGCTGTTAGCACAGAGCCCAATGCGGGGCTCGATTTCATTGTGAGGCCCTGACCTGAGCCGAACTAAAGAGTCAGATGCTTAACTGACTGAGCCACCCAGGCGCCCTGCTATTATTATTTTGGATATTTGGGGTTATGTTACTAATTATATACAACATCATAGGCTAAAGCAAAATGAAACTTTTTAACTCAAACAAACGGAAAATAAATCGCTTTCTTCCATTGTCGGCTAATTACCTCTCTTTCCTGTTAAGGCAAACTGAATGGTATTTCCTCCGACTCCACAAAATGCATCTACTACAATGTCACACTTGAAGGACTGGCTGACCCGGCCAGCAATGTGTTCAGCAATCTTCTCAGGGGTCACGGAAAACCAGCCCTCTGCAGAGGAAGAGCATCCGGATGAAGATGGTTCAATTTCAAGAAGCCAACCCGAGCACAAACATCACAGCAAACATTACTATATATGCTATACCCGAACAAGATCTAGTTTCTCTTTTCAAGAACTTATAAATTGCTTCGTTTTTTTTACAGAAAGTTCAGTAGAGCTTGTTATAAAAAGCAGTACTATTCCCATTCCCGATTTGCACGGAAGCAACCATCTCAATTCTTGCCTGTTGCTTTTATAATATACTTCTAATAACTGAATGCAACTTTAGTTTTTCTGTTTGAAGTATTAATGACTATTAAGGAAAATGGAAAGTTGCTCTATTCAACTGGCCAACTCCCCAGACCCCACTGAGTTTCCGGATTACTTTATTTCTAACAGGGAACTATCGAGCCAGATTTGTACTTGACACTTTGGAAAAATGTGTACATTTCAAAAGGGTCAGGAAAAGCAAGAAGCTGACAGCAAAAGGATGCAAAGCTGTAGGAATAGACCCCTCTTCGTTTTCAGAAACGGGGTCCTGTGCCCACTCCAGAGGAAAGAGGATACTGACTTCCTTTCCCAGTAGAAAAAATTAACATTTTTTTTCAGAAATTTATTTCTCTGGAACAAAATCATGCACCAATTTTCCTGTTCTCTTTCCTTACCAAGACTTTAAATGGCTCCTCATTGTTGGAAGAATACAAATATAAATTCCTTTTATAGAATTAGAAAGCTTTTTTATCCAGCCTCATTTCTCCAAACAAACTCCTATGTACTCTCTTCGATACACAACAAGCACAACATTTTGTAAATTATTAGAAGAGGTTCACAGAACCCAAAATTCTACCCAGATCAAGTCTCCTGATTTTGACAGTCAATAAGGACCAATGTTTAGGGAGCCCCGATATGAAAATAAGCATCAATTTGGAGAAATGAATGAAGGAAGGTGTTCCAGACATAGCAGGAACACTCACAGAAGAACTCCGCTTCCAGAGTTAATTCATTAAATTACACCTTCTGCACTACGTATTTCTTCATCAGATGTTCTGCTTAATAGTCTATTGACTTTTTGCTATCCATCCTAAAATGCCACAAATCCAGATTAAACCTGAATGTGAAGTTTTAAAAATACATATATACGCAAACTAAGAGACACTGTAGAAAATAATTGGCTACTTTTCTTTGGAAAATGTCAGAGTCAAGAAAAACAAAAAGGCTGAGGGACTATTCCAGATGAAAGGAAAAGAAAACAACATGAAAACTAAATGCAATATGTGGTCCTCAACTGGAAGAAAAAACGCCATAAAGGACATGATTAGGGTAACAGATGAAACTGCAGTCTGGACTGCAGAATAGAATATTGCAGCAAGGTTCAATTTGTAATTTTATCACCATTACATAAAGTATCTTTGTTCTTAGAAAACACACACGCAAGTATTAAGGGGTAGGAGCGATTGGATCAGAAACACACACACACAGAATGATAAAGCAAACGTGGCAAAGTGTTACCAAGCAGTCAGATATGGGTAAAGGGCATTATGAAATTTTTACTATTCCTGCCACGTTTCTGTAACTTTGAAATTATTTCAAAATAGTGTCAAAAAACCCCCCACATATATTTTACCTTTGTCCAATTTAATCCCATCATCAAAACGGGAGAAGAGCCTGTATCTCTGGGCCCAGTACTTTGCCAGCTCAGGAACAGCAGCTATCTCGGGAGGCAGGCCAATTACCTTTTTGTTCCTGTTTTTCTTTGTCTTCTTCTTCTTTTTACTTTCAGCTAAAATAAAAGAATATAAAAAATACAGATGCTCACTATGAAAAAAAGGAAATCGTAGATGAATTTATCTAAAAGTATACCCACATTCAATATTTACAATTTGGGAATGCACTCCAGAACATGTGTGCAACGGCACCCCTGGAAAAGCAGGAGGGCCTGATGCACATAGCACTGACTTTACATGACAGCTTCTGTTTTGCTGTTTATAACTTGCCTGGGCTTGGTAAATAAAGAAACCCAGGCTCACTAAGATCCAATTTTTAATTCCTCAAAAGGAATGAATGAATAGTATTTTATCTACTTACTTCTCAAGATTGTTAGGGGATGTGTACAGATACTACATAGGTATAAAAGTTATTACTTCTGTTAGATAAGGTACTACTTTAGTCGGTCAATTATAGAAATCCAAACATTGTTCTTCCCTTCGTTAAAATAAAACCTCCCAAGGACTGACTGAGTCCTAACTTGGTCAATCCTCTGAACACAGACATGACCTGAAGATCCTATGACCTAAAGGAAATTAAAATAGGTCATGGCTTTAATGTTAACAGAAAAGGATCTCATTCATTCAAAGATGGACTTTTTCTTCTTTTTTTTAAATGTTTTATTTATTTTTGGGAGAGCAAGAGACAGAGTGTGAGCAGGGGAGGAGAGGGAGACGCAGAATCTTTTTTTTTTTTTTTTTTTTAATTTTTTTTTTTGAACGTTTATTTATTTTTGGGACAGAGAGAGACAGAGCATGAACGGGGGAGGGGCAGAGACAGAGGGAGACACAGAATCGGAAACAGGCTCCAGGCTCCGAGCCATCAGCCCAGAGCCCGACGCGGGGCTCGAACTTGTGGACCGCGAGATCATGACCTGGCTGAAGTCGGACGCTTAACCGACTGCGCCACCCAGGCGTCCCGAGACACAGAATCTTAAGCAGGCTCCAGGCTCTGAGCTGTCAGCACAGAACACGATTGTGAGATCATGACCTGAGCCAAAGTGAGATGCTTAACCGACTGGGCCACCCAGGCACCCTGCGACGGACTTTTTTCTTAAACAATTTTTATTAATTTGGTTATCTTGTCTCAGTTCTGAGATCAGAAATAGCAACTTAGAGCATTATCACAGCTAGACATAATGAGAAGAATTGATGATGACAAATAAAACTACTGCTTCAATGATTCTCAAGGATAGAACTATGTCTTAATACGTCATCCGGTCATTGCAAATAGCATAAGGTGTCATCAACACTAACATTTTGAATGAACAATTCCTTATTGTGCAAGATCATCCTATACACGACAGAAGGTTAACCCCAAGTACTAAATGCCCCTACCTCCAGGTCATTCTAACAGCCAACACCTTCCAAATGCCCCTGAGGTGGGTGGTATGGGCCCAGGTGAGAACTACCAGCACTGTGACATGAGGTAATTAGGGAAGTAGGGAAGCGGCAGGGGGGAAATGGGACTGAGGAATCAGACAACCTGGTACTGAGTCCTAGCTATGCCACCTACTAGCTGTGTGATCTCAGGCAAATTTCTTAGTTTCTCTGGGCTTTACTTTCTGTATTTATAGAATAGGGATAATTCCATCTACCTATTTTAAAGATTAAATGAAAATAAGGCACATGAAATCTGCAAGTACCATATGAACATCAGTTGTACATGACAATAAAAAAAATTTAAACTACCTTTAGTATGCTTTTTAGAAAGGCAAAGGAGTATGTGATACAAAGAATACAGCTCTCTACACACATACACACACACACAAATCAAGATTCAAATGAGGTATTTTCCTCAATATTAAAAAAAAAATTTATTTTAATCCTTATTTAGTTTTGAAAGAGAGAGAGAGAGAAAGAGCGTGAGCAGGGGAGGGGCAGAGAGAGAAGGAGACACAGAATCTGAAGCAGGCTCCCGGCTCTGAGCTGTCAGCATGGAGCCCGATGCTGGGCTCAAACTCACGAACTGCGAGATCACGAACTGAGCCAAAGTTGGACGCTTAACCGACTGAGCTAGCCAGGCGCCCCAAAATAAAAAGAATTATTAAAAGGAACACCAGAGCAATACCAAATTTCAAGAGGGATAAAAGGGACTGCCAGTCACTTTTAGCCCAGGGAGCAGAGGGTAGTGGCAGAGACCAATCTTAGTGGAACAGAGACACTCAGTTTTCCCACATGTGCGCCCTTTTATCTCATCACGCTTGTTCAGCCAAGAGTGTAGTCTTCTGGTGCCAAACCATAGCCACTAGCACATTTACACTTACTGTGCATCCTCTCTACTTGAAAATGAATGGCGGTGAGAGGCGCCTGGGTGGCTCAGTTAGCTGTCTGACTCTTGATTTCGGCTCAGGTCATGATCCTAGGGTTGTGGGATCGAGCCCCACATTCTCTCTCTGCCCCTCCCCGTGTGTGCACACGTGCTCTACCCCCACCTCAAAATAAAATAAAATGAAATGAAATGAAATAAAATACAATAAAGTAAAATAGCGGTGCATCCTTACGTATAGACGGTTAACAAGTGACAGCTAAGGAAGCACATTATCCAAATTCATCAGCAAGTTGAAGCACAGTCTTACCTTCAGTGTCGACCTGTAGAGAGTCTGGTGTAATCTGAGTAACACAATCTTCCTGATGTGTAATAGCTGTTACTGTGCTGTCTCCTTCATTTTTTTCTGTTTCCAGTTCACCAGCTGAAGACACGGCGTGACACTTTCCAGGTTCTTGACTGCTCGTCTCAAGTGGGTCGTCGCCTTTTTTAACAGACATTTCTTGCTCCTCTGAATCACTGCTTGTGCACGTGTCTTGCACGTTGTCATGAGAAACTGACTCCTGTGATGCTTCCTCATCCATTGGTTCATTAACCCATTTTAGAAATTTTTCTACCTGAAATTGTCAGTCATCACAAGCACGAATTAATTCCAAATTGCACAGAATAGTCCTACTTGCTTTGACCATTTGGACTTCACTGAGAAGCTGAGTCATAATTATTAGCTCCAATAAGTACACTGTATCATATAAGCTAATTATGCAAAAAGTAATTCTGAGCTAACTGCACAATTTTCTTATCTGGACATACCATGACCTTATTAAAGATTTCTTTAAAAGGAAGAAGATATCAGCTTAAACACAAGGTGGTGACTTTCCTGTAATCAATTAGCACTAAGAGGATAAAGCTGAACTGTTCCAGTAGCTTTCCATAGAGGCTTCTGACAATATAACCATACTATGTGATATTGCCATTACACATGTACCCACTTATTACTGTCATTAATGTTATCTTTTCCAATCATACAGGCCTTTCTTCAATGGCTGAGGCTATAGTCTATGTTAAATTGTACTCAGCATCAAAGATAAACTCTAAAAAGATTTAGTGCCCATCTGAAGAAAAAGAGCAATGCAAACTGCCCTTTAACGGAGTGAAGCCTGTAAAAAGGATTCCTAAAAAGTAGGTTTCTTAGAAATGTTAATAAGGTCAGGTAACTTCCTTGCAAACTTCTGTAACAAGAATATTCTTTTAAACAAAAAATTTTTTAAGCTTATTTATTTTGAGAGGGGGAGGGGCAGAGAGAGGGGGGGGGGAGAGAGAATCCCAAGCAGGTTCTGCACTGTCAGTGCAAAGCCCAATGTAGGGCTCAAACCCACAAACCATGAGATTATGTCCTAAGCTGAAATGAAGAGTCAGATGCTTAACCAACTGAGCCACCCAGATGCCCCTATAAGAATATTCTTCATAACAGAGTTCATGACCCTCCTAAGAGTTAGGAAATTGGAAGATGAGCATAGACAAACCCAGAATCTTCAAGGGGACTGTGCCTGTGTATCAAACAGATACCTAAGGACACAACAGCCATATTTCTTTTTTTCCTTGTCAATACATAGCAGGTATGTTTCTGCTTTGTCTACAGATGGATGTATAGGGGCAATCACATCCAACAAATAAAAAGTTCTATAGGACTGACTGACCTGAAGTGGGAAATGTGTTCCAGACATAACCAGGGCCACTAAAATATTAAAATATCACTAGCAACCAACCAATCTAAAATGAAAAGGAAAACATGAAGGCAGCAACATAAGTCTGTTGCATGTTTTGGAAGAATGCTGAAGTTAGGAAGGATAATGTAACTTAAGGGTAAAACAAAGTCATTACAGGATCTGAGATTTTGTTCTGTTGTCCAAAGGAGTTGCTGGAGAAGTGACTAATACAATGATACAAAGGTTTCACTCATGAGAAGGTGTCCTCCCTGCCCACCACCCCCCAACAGAAAAGTATCACTCATCAAACCAAGCAAAAACTATTCTAATTACTTTTGTTTTTCAGGTGCTGGCACAGCAGGTATAGCAGAGTCCAAGAGAGGGGACACGAATATTCTAGTGAACACTCCAGTTAACAGTGTAAATCACTAAATTCGCAGGAGACCATTAGGATGAACTGGTTAGTGCAATGTTTAAATTGTTTTTTTTTTTTTTAACATTTTTTATTTATTTTTGATAGAGGGAGAGACAGAGCACAAGTGGAGGAGGAGCAGAGAGAGAGAGGGAGACACAGAATCCGAAGCAGGCTCCAGGCTCCGAGCTGTCAGCCCAGAGCCCGATGTGGGGCTCGAACTCACAAACCGCAAGATCATGACCTGAGCAGAAGTCGGACGCTTAACCAACTGAGCCACCCAGGCGCCCCATAGTGCAATGTTTAATTGATCGCCTCTGGATGATCTCGTAATTAAGACTTACAATAAAAGCTGTACTAGAAATTGACTTCCAGGATCCTACTTAGCCTGAAGCAGATGAGAAAGTCTCACTGTTACTACATATACAAGGCAATTTTATCTATCTTCCCAGATACTTTATAGCTTTCAAAACATAACATTACTACCAACTTATTCTTTTTCAAATTTAGTTCACATGCTATATGCTTTTAGGAAGCAAGGGGAAGAGAATTTTAGGCACCTTTATATCTGCTAGAAGCAGGATTTCCATTTGAATACCATTTGAGTCAAGCTCACAAAATGAGATTCTATCTGTAAATATAGAACAAAATTTATACAGACCTTAGTCAAAGCTTTGCTTTTCTTGAAAAATGTTTTATCTGACTCTTCAGTAAAGAAGATGTGTTTGTTTTTCATATTTATTTGTCTTCTCATGTCCAGGAACTTTGACTTATACTTCACATTCTTCTGCAAGTATCTGACCCGCCGATGACTGAAATTTGAAATTCCACCATATCTGTGACCAAACCAAAGGAAGATGACTCAAACCTTAAGTTCTGTGAGTTTGTTTTCTTATATGAAAAGAGAATAAAATGGACAATTTTCACTATTTTTCGATTAGCAGCCACCATTTTAATTTCTTTTCTAAATTATAAAAATTATGAAATAAAGTTCAAATGCATAGGAGTTGTATGTTAATTTTGAGTAAATCTGAAACATCAGTTGGGAGTATCAACATACCTTATATATAGCAGAAAGCAGGTATTACATAGTAAAATGTAATAAAGAAATCGCAGAAACATGTAACCCCGTTGCACACCAGGGAAATATAATCTTTTCTCATGGTGAGATGATACCAAAGCTCTTTCATACATACATACCTGGACTTCAATTATTTTAAAAGTGGTCACTGACTTCTTAACCTAAATTAATCTGAGCTTACCCAAGAAGCAAACCCATATTAACAAAATAACTAGAAAATATCTGCTGATCTAACCATCTGAATTTTTCTAGTCTTAAAAGATCAAGATCTGCTACAAAGACTTCTATGACTATATCAAGCCTTATTTAAGTACTTCTCCCACAGACTATAAGAAACTTAAAGTGTAATATACAATTTAGCACTTACAAACTCCTGAACAGTTTAGTGTTAAATATCAGGTGTTATCTTCTAGCCATATTATAAACTTTATAAAAAAGTCCATTTTATCCTTTTCTTCTTCTTCTTCTTTTTAAAGAGTGGGAGCACACAAGCAGAAGAGGGGCAGAGCAAGAGGGAGAATCTTAAGCAAGCTCCATGCCCAGCGTGAAGCCCAACGCGATCTCATAACCATGAGATCGTGACCCGATCTCAAGAGTTGGGAAATCAAGAGTTGGAACACTTAACCAATTGAGCCACTCAGGTCCCCCTTATCCTTTTCTTCTAAGTAGAACTGGGAATCCTAAACAGAAGAATAGTTAAGTTAAATCCCAGGTCACAGAATAAATCTCCAGGGATGTATCCTAGCAAGAGCCACTCAAGTAATTTCTCAATAAAATTACATGTGGGTAGAAATAAATTCTGTCAGGAATTTAAACATGGCACTATCAAGAAGACATTTTATATTACTCATCTTTGTGATCTTTAACCTTAAATAATTATACCAACGGCAACTGCCTTCAAGTACCGTAAGGGAGAGATAATTGATAATTAAAAAAATATTTATAGTATTATGAGCATGTAATCCTTAACCGATTTGGATTCAATTTATAAGTCAACTTTGAGATCTGTGTCCTTTCCTTGCTGACTTCACAATATGTAGGTATCAGCTAAAACTGCACAACTAACAAAGTAAGTCTCAACCCTTAGAAACATCAAAGACCTTAATCTTGGTTTAAATCACTGGTGCATGTTGACATAAATGGTAGGTCTTTAATGTGCCTTAAATACTCAGTTTGGTCTTCATGGTATACGCAATAAGCCCTTCACTTTTCTTATATTTAATGCCTGGGCATTTAATACCAGAGAAAACTTACACCTTCTGTATATAAATGTTCATAGCAGTTTATCTGTAATAGCCAAATACCATACATAGTCCAAATGTCCTTTAATAGATGAATGGTTAAAGAAACTATGGTACATCCATACAACGGAATACTACTCAGCAGTATGAAGGAATGAACTATTGGTACACACAATAACTTGGGAAGAACCTCAAAGGAACACGCCTAAATCTTAGGAAGAACCCAGAAGTACATACAGGGTAATCAATTAAACACACAAGGATTAGATAATTGTGTGAGCACTGATAAGTCAGGGTTGCTTAGAAGTCTCAAAACCTTGCCCTGTATCCTCTCCCTAGGAAATGATATGATCCCAACCAAGTCACTGCTTTATCTATGAAACTGTAATAACGATATTGGATTGTATGAAGTGCAACTGAGTAAACGATGTATGTGAATATAGCAAATGTGTGGTGATCTCTCTACAAGAGAGGTTAGTGTTTTAACTATATTATCTCAAATGCTATCAAATCTATAACTATCATTAGCTATCAGAGAACGTTAAGACAGCTGAAGTGTTACAATTTTGGGAAAACAACAGTATTTATACATAATTACTTTTGTCCTGAGCCATGCTTGAATCCCAGAAGGGAACCATTGTCATCAAAGTCTGAATCTGGGTTTTCATCGACGTCCAGCTCGTGGCTAAACAAACAAAAGGTAAAACAGTGATAAACCATTATATCTAGAGGCCACCAGTTAATGAAAATATCAAAAGGTACACAGAGTCAATCTACACACACTTTCTAATCACAACAGTCAACCACAGCTCCAGCTCACAAATCCACGAAGACAGGAAAGAGTACTTTAATCAGATTTTCCAAATAAGATAAAGTACTCAGCAGTATTTGGAACACAGCAAAAAGCACTCACATCCTAAACTTTGTCAAGTAACTCTCTCTACTCTTGAACATGGCACGAATACAGATCTCTCCATCTGCCTTTGGAAGAACACCTGTAAAAACTACAGCCTTCAACTAAGCTCCTAGAATGTTACCTTTAGAAGTTTTCCTCAAAAACAAAGAAGAAAACATTTGAGAAGTATCAATCCAACCAAAAACTTTAAAAAATATATGAAGAATAAGGTTGTGATTCAAGTGTGTTATCAAGTAACCCATGATCACTGATCTAATGGGGATACCTCCCAGTGACCCCTATGACGTACGTGATAGTACTAAGAGAAAATGGGGAGAAATAATTCTTACAAATTAAATTAAGCTCACTGAACATTTATGGTGGACCTACTACATCCCAGAAATGTAAGAACACACAGAGTCTCTGCTTCCGGGCACTTAGGGAGGAATTAACAAGCACTGCGAACCATGTAGAAGGAACACAATGGAGGCATGCTTTTATGAAAGTACTAGGTTACTGGGCCCCCAAAGTTTGCATATTATTTTTTCTAGAAGCTGTATGTTAACATAAAAGTCATATGTGGAACACTTCACATCCTGTCACAGAAATAAAATGTTTTTAGCTGACATCTAAGTTCTGTAACATCCGTCCTTTCCTTGTATCTTACAGAATTAGCATTTGACTGTATCCAACCTGTGTTACTTGTCACTTTATTTTACATATCGATAGTATACTAGAAGAGCACTGCCTCCAGAAGAGTTGGTCTGGGCATCAGCCTTGGAACTGCCATTGTTTTGCTATGTAACTCTGGGCAAAAGCACTTACCCTCATTTTGTCTTAATATTCCCATGTACAGATTAAGAGCATTAGATACTTGAGGTCTTTTAGCATAAAATTCTGTGATAACATATACTTAGATTTTTGAAGAAAAAACCAGAACGTCCTTGAGAGAAACCATATCTATGGATACATTATTAAAAGCTGTCACCTACTGACACTCCCATCAGATATATTACATGCTAGTTCTAGTCTTCCTAACGATCTCATTAAAAAAAGCATTGGTTCCATTTTATAGACAAGAAACTGTGGGATTTGACTGCTGGGATTTGACCGTGTTCCGAGGCTAGTACGTCTCATCTTTTCTCCTTTTCTCCAGGACTAACAGTAAGTACTGTAATATAACAAATGCTTTACAGCCACCCCCTCATGGACACAAGTGCTTCTGCTACCCCACTGTGGAGACGGAGGTAATGTGTTACTTGCCTCCTCTTGAGTTTGCTTGGCTTATGTTCAGGTGGATCTTCTTCACTCTCGTCTCCATCAATACTGTTGGAGCGTGGTCTTTCTCTGATTGCGTTTGCTTCGGAAGAGTCCTGTGAATCTAAAGAGGCAGAGATATTGCAGTGGAGTTCTCTCCTTGGTTTGACAATTCCTCTGCCTTTTGCAAAGGCGATCAAATACTTTACTGCCTTTCTTGCAATGACCTGTATGCGCATGTCAGGCACAGCGCCAGATCGAATTGACCTATTTTGTGTATCCACATGCAGAGTCTGAGCGTAAAATTGTAGCTATGCCTATCTATTAAAGTTTCCATGATCTAACTACTTAGAAAGCAAACGAAAACTTTTTCCTCATAGCTGTCCAAATCTACATAAATTAATCCAGTTACTTTTATGAAAGCTTTCTAATCACACACACTAACAGCTATCACATTTGACCGAATTTTAACTTACATGACTCTGAATACAGCGTTTTCAGAAAAATGATTACTCCTTATTAAGAAGCAAATACATTGGTCTCTAATATAGCCCTTAAATTGACAATGCAAGTAACAGAAAGGTAAGCACCATCATTTAAAAAGAATGCTTTTAAACTTGTGGCAGCTCTGACTGAGGCACCTGTCTTTGTTCTGTATTTCTTCAGACTGGCACAGAGTGAGTAGGGGGAACTAGAAATGGAGAGTTGTCTGTAGTGTAGGCAATGGGATACTTTGATTGTGTAGGCACAGACTATTTCAGGAGAATACGCAACCACTGTGTAGGCACAGACTATTTCAGGAGAATACGCAACCACAAACAATAGAAAACATATACGCTTACATAGAAAACATGCAACATATACCTTGTGTTGTGATCTCAAGGGAGGATCCAAAACAAATTAAAACCTCAAATTCTCAGATTGATCCTGATGGCACTCACCCCGGGACTAATTAAAGAAATGGCCAACTACACACATAACTAAGGGAAAAGGTAACAAAAATGGCCAATCTATGCATGTAAACTAGGAAATAGACCACAGAAGGCAGAGACTATGAGGTTTACTATGTTTGACAAAGGGAACAAACAGGAAGATAAGGGAGGAGGGTCAAAGAAGTAACATGAAGTAGTAAGACAGGGGCCAATACATTGGCCAATATACAGATTTCTAGTTTTATGGTCAAAATCAGCACAGAAAGTAATCGAGAGAGCAGAGAGGAGTGTCAAAAGACTAACATAAAGTAATCACATTAAAAAAAGGATGAAAATAACACCAAAATAGAAAAGAATGATAATACTGAGGTAAGCTCCATTGGGAGAGCACAGAGAAAAAAGAAATCAAAAAGTAGGCAGAGTCCTTTAGGAACTCTCTCTAAAGGGAACTCTCAGCTAGATGAAAATCCGCAATCCAAGGAACAAAGCAAACCCAATTGTTAAATAAAAGGCCAAAACCTTTTGTTTCATATAAGAATGAGGCCGAGAAGAAAGTCCTCTATTATAAACCAGACTTGTCTAGCACCAAACATCAAGGATGCCAAACTTATAAAAATTTCCTCCTCTCTGATTTTCCTGGTTTCCTTAGGATTCCTTAGAATCCTTTTCCCTAGCAAGAGCATTCTTAATAACCACCTCTGACTTCTTAACATACCTCTCACTGGCTTTCTTTCATCCTTTCTTTAGTTCTTTAGACATCAATTTGCATGACAGGTTTTGTTTTGTTATGTTTTCAATCACTTAGGCTGGAGTCAATGAAGTTCCCTATCCTGGATATTTAACAAGGATCCTGAGGTCAACTCTTCTAGATAGAAATTAATATCATGCCCTGTTGAGATTCCCTACAGAGCAAGACTTCATTGGTTCCAAAATAAATTTTCAGATATAACTTAAAGTAAGATTTGCCTGATATCCATTGTGTACTCTGAACCATTCTCTAATATGCCTCCTATAAATACATTTGCTTCACAGAAACTTGGAAGTTCCATGTCTATTCTAAATTTCTCAAGGGAGTTCCAAGGTGTTTTTTGTTTGTTTCGTTTCTATGTTTCATTTATTTTTGAGAGCAAGAGAGACAGAGCACAAGTGGGGGAGGGAGAGGGAGACAGAGAGGAGGGACACAGAATCTGAAGCAGGCTCCAGGCTCTGAGCTGTCAGCACAGAGCCCTATGCGGGGCTCAAACTCACAGACTGTAAGATCATGACCTGAGCTGAAGTCGGACGCTTAACCGACTAAGGCCACCCAGGCGCCCCAGGGGAGTTTCAAGTTTTAATTGGCCACCAAGGTACAAGTGGAAAAAATGATACTTTTGAGAACCCTTTGCAAATATTTTTCTGATTTATATGAAAGGGAAATAAACAACTTGTGATATATGGAGTAAATCATTTTATACTATAAAATGCAGTTGGCATTGTGTAACTCTTGCATAAAGGATTAGTGTTATTTTGCTCAGTAGGTTCATTTTCCTGTTCAGTAGGATACATCTTGGCCAGTCTTACCCTGAGCTGGTTGGTTTGCGCTTCTGTTCCCAGACACGTTGCTGTCCTTGGTTCCTCCGTGACATGGTTCACTTTGGCCAGCAGGGCATTCTCTGCTGCTGCCGACTTCACTTAGCAACTGACATCCATCGTAACTTACTGAAGAATCTAACCGGCTCTGTTCCACTTCCTCTGAATTCAGACTTAAGTTACTAACTCCATCAAGTATTTCATTATGCTCTTTATCACTTGAACTAGAGCTTTCACTATCAATGGTTATAGATGAAGATGGAAAAGACGTTAAGTCCGCTTTTATGCAATTTTCATTTTTCTCGTCGTCAACCTCTATTTTAGGCTCACCAGTATCTGTATCACAGGTTTCTGGGGCATCAAAAGTCCAACCCTGAGCTTCCCAATACTGAAATTGTTCCAAATAATACCAATAGAGTTGACTATAATGTTGTTCCCATTCCTCCTTTGTATCAGGAACGTTCCAAGGTTCAGAACACAGTGTCTGACCTGGATGTTTCTCTTGCCAGCTTTGCCATAAGAGTCCTCCGCCATATTCATTCCAATACTTTTCCCACTTCTCTGTAATTTCTAGCTTTGGGCATAATGTATTTTCAACAGGAAGATTTTCAGTTTCAATGTCCTTTTTGGTTTGAAGTTCACATGTTTTGGTGTTCTCATACTGTTCAACTGAAGACGGATCATCGGAAGCCAAAATGTCATCTTCTTCATATTCTTGTCTCCAAGATTCTCTCATAATTTCATGCAAGTACTTCTTTTGCTGTTTTTTCTTTTTCTTTTTGACTTTAACTTTATTTCTAGTATTCATAGACACCTACATAAGATAAATAACTTGAATATCAAGTGCACCTCATAAAGTATAAGAGAAAATAGAATCCAAGTCTCTTTTACCATTAAATTAAATAATAGATCCTCAAACCCTCATCCTGGGCTTTAGTTACACACACAGATTAATTTTACTCTCTATGTCTACAGGAGGAGGAAAAAATCAAACATAGACATATATCAAAACTTGCAGTTTTGGTTAATTTATAAATACGTACGTTTAAAAAGAAGTGGGGTGCTCTAATGTATGAATGTGTTAGATTTGGGATAAAATAATTCCATTTGGTATTTCATGAAGAAAATGAAGAAACAAATAAAAGTAACTTACACTTTTGTAAAAATTCTTTTTTAAAAAAAATATTTACTTATTTAAAACACAAGTGGGAGAGGGGCAGAGAAAGAGACACAGAGGATCCCAAGCAGGCTCCACACCACTAGCACAGAGTCTGATGTAGGGCTTGAACTCACAAACTACAATATCATGACCTGAGCTGAAATCAAGAGTCAGACGCTTAACCGACTGAGGCACCCAGGCACCCCTACTTACCTCAAAAGTCTTATGTGCAGATACACCACCAAACTGGAGTGGTAGTCCCATACTTCTCATGAGTTCAGCCTCAGAATCAAGTTCACTTTCATCTAGGCCTAAGCCTTTGCTGTCATGTGACTCTGCCGTGCCACCTTCCTCCTCTTCTGTTGCTTGGTCTCCTACAGACAGCATTTGTTAGCTTCATTTTAGAGAGAATGTAGATGTAAGTTTTATCATCCTCATTTTAAAGAGGAACCTGAGATCCAGAATCATGCAAGTGTTACGATTTTTAAGGAGTTAAAAAGACTAGTAAAAAATGGCCAACTGAGAATCAAGAGACAACTTCTAGTCTAGCTCTGCCAGCTACCAGCTGCCCATTCAAGTTACATGTACTGAGTACCTCCTCTGTGCTGGGCACAGAGCCCTTTGCACCGTGCAGAGTACTGAGGATACGAGGGGGGACATGGTGGAGTAATCACAGGGAAAACACATTTTCGCCATAGGCAGTATTACTCAACTAGATCAGTGAAGTTAAAATGATGATTTGTGGAGTTACTTTAGGAGCTAGTAATAAGAGAGGTGAAAGGCATGTCTTTAGTCGCCTCGAGGGTACTTTTATTTATTTATTTATTTATTTATTTAGTTTGAGGGTACTTTAATCACAACTAGGATTTATATTCTGTGACTCTGGGAGAGATGATTGAATGAAAGGGTTCTGCTATTGAAAGTGAAATCTACTGAGCTGGAAGATTCTTTCAAACTCCTGATTCTAGGTCTTACAAAAAAACCTGTTGTATTGTAACAAAGTAAGTTTTGCTTTATACTAATATGGTTAGATTAAAAAAAAGTGTATCACACCATTAACAGGACAAATGCCATTCAAATGCTCCATTAGCCATTTGAAATGTGAGATAAATGTCACTTTACACATTAGCATACTCAATTAGGGCTGAGCTGCACTCCAGCTAAATGACTGTAGGCAACAGAATGGTGAGTCTTACAAAGCAAAAATGGAGACTATAAAGAAATCTTTTGTGTACAAATCCTACTAAAACAAAGAGGGAAAAAAAATCTCTGCCTAAGTAATAAGGGGGATTCCATTTACCATTCCACTCAATGAACTTATGAAAGTCCAAGAGAGAGCAAATAGGAAAAACAAATGTGCTAAGTTTTATGTTCCTTTCATAGTATGTGTTTTATTCATTGATTGATTGATTGATTTATGAAAAAGAGAGAGAGAGAGAGCATGCACACACAAGCAAGTGAGAGGAGTAGAGGGAGAGGAGAGAATCCCTAGCAGGCTCCACGACGACACGGGGCTCAATCTCACAACCATAAGATCATGAGCCACCCAGGTGCCCCATGGTATGTATATTTTACGTTTAGCAGGAGCTTGGGGTCTGAAGAAACCTTATTTGTACATTACATTGAAACACAAACCAAACACTTTATCCAGCAATCAACTGAAGAAACACTGACTCGTTCCATTATTGTGAGAGTTAAAGGACTTTTAAGGGCAACACGACACCCTTTACTTGTGCTGGCTTTAGCCTAGAACTCATGCTAGTTTTGCCTGTATCTAGAGAAACAAAAAAGATCTGTGTGGAAAGAACAAACGCGGTCTCAAAGGGAAGTCTGAGAGAGAGCAAGATGGTTTTTGGAAACTAGATAAGGCTCAAAGTATACAACAAATTCTATTTGTTATTTGGGAACGTGAACCCAGATGATGGGCTCTTCACTTCAGTCAGAAGACTATGGATGTTCACTTGGCACTTATCCTGAATACCTTATTTATACGATTGGTAAAGTATATAAACAAGGAGGTCATTAGACTGAGGTGGCTCTAAGGCCTTTGTTGTCAATGGAAGCAAACCAAAAACCTAAGCCAGAATCCAAGCACTCAAATCAAAGAAAATAAAACTTAAGAACAACCAATCACAAATAGCCAGTATGCTTCCCCAAATGAGCCCACTGCTTAAGCCACAGCCAATCAAGTAATTTCCTTGCTTTGCTTCTACACCGTCTCTATAAAAACCCCTCCTCTAACTCCTGTTGTGGAGTGGTGCTCCTATCCAGGGAGCCGGCACTGCCTGACTTGGAGAGGTGTCTACTCGAATAAACTCTTGAAAATTTTAATATGCCTCTGTTTATCTTCCAACACAATAAATTTTGCTGGGGGGGAAAAATATGCTCTCTACTTTTCAAAGCTGCAAATTTCAGGCTCCTCTTATCTAATGGCAACAACTCAGGAAGGAACGTTACATAGAGCAAAAGAGGCTACCTCAAGTCCATAGAGGAGCTAGCAGGAAAAGAAAAGATGTGCTTTGAAAAGGATTCTAGAGCCATGTCATAATAAAAAATAAGGACTATAATTACTGGTTGTCATTTATAATATTTTATGCAACAAATCAATATGGTATTATAACAAATTATATTTAAAATCAATACAGTATTATAGTTACTTTGAGTGAAAAGGGACCATATGGTTTTATACTGTATTACCTGCATTGTCACCATTGCCTTTGACATAGTAGCCTTTTAATCCCAAATTGCACAATTTTCGATCTCTGCAAAGCAAATTAAACAGTCAAAAATGAAATACATTATAAATCTGGGGAAAAAATTCAAGGCAGCATAGATTTAAAATGTTAAGGAACAGAAAAGCAATCTGCTAATATATCTTCCTCATCTGTAATACAGAGGAAAGAACACATATCTCATGAGGTTATTACAAGGATAGTACATCTAAGACAGGGAATATATACCACATAGGAATCATTTATAATTACAATTACTAATTAGTATAATTAAAGGGTGGTTCTGGCATTGTGGGAAGAATTGATCTTATATAATACATAAACAAGAAAGTGTTCTCTAAACTTGCTGTAAGAAGTGAGCATAAAAGTGGAAAGATTTAGGGGCGCTGGGTGGCTCAGTCTGTTAAGAGTTCAACTTCGGCTCAGGTCCTGATTTCATGGTTCGTGGGTTTGATCCCCACATCGGGTTCTGTGCTGATAGGTTAGAGCCTGGAGACTGTTTAGGATTCTTGTGTGTCTCTCTCTCTGCCCTTCCCCGCTCATGCTTGGTCTCTCGCTGTCTCTCAAAAATAAACATGTAAAAAAAAGGTGGAAAGATTTACCTTACACACACATAAATCCACATGTAGACCCTACTCCATTTGCAAATCAGCCAAGTTATCATTGCTTAGTAGACAAGATAGTCACAGTCCAAGCAAAGGTTGTTTTGGGGACTAACATACAATGAAGTTCTTATTTAGATATTTTATCAAACTGAAACAGAAATCAAAACAAAACATTCAGTCTCAACAATTTTTAATTGAATAATTATTTAAGTAAGCTCGGTGCCTAATGTGGGGCTCAAACTCATGACCCCAAGATCAAGAGCTGCATGCTCCCCCGGCTGAGCCAGCCAATACCCTAGTCTCAACAATTTTTAACAACAGTGAATGATTCAACTTTTCTTTACATATCTACTTCAAGAGTTGTTTTCTATCTGCTAAGATCAGAGATTACTTAACACAAATAAACTTGACAGGACACTTTGGGAAAGGAGAAAATTGTGCCATTTTCTTCCTACCATTAAATTGAGCTGTAACAAACTCCATCAGAACTGCCAGAATAAAGCCATCTGCAAGTAATACCTGATACTATTTTTCCAGTGTAACCACAATAAATTCAACCAAATAAAATTTTTGTATACTTGATATATTTCACTATCCTCCTGTCTATGTTTTGACACTTTATAAAAGATAAAGTGATGACTCACAGTAGGACAGCAAACATGCCAGGGGATGCAGTGCAAATGTGCTCTGGCACAATGCCCACTGGCCCCCAAGAACACTGGACAATGGAGAGGGCTCTGGGGGTGGGGGAGAGCAGCAGCTACACAGAGGGCATCAACGGCGTGCCTGTCAGCACCCGAGGATACGGGGCACTAGGTGTCAGATGGAGGAAAAGGCTAGTAAGATTGCAAGATTGGTTACACTGGGCACATAAGTAAATGCACTGAGGATACCGACAGCCAAGATATTCCTACACGCCTACATGTATTTATGTATGTATGCAAAATGCAGACACACCCTGCCTAATTCTATCTGCTGAGAGAGCATAGGGGAAATGAAACCCAAGAGCAGGGAACACAACGAGCACCCAAGTCTTGGTTTCTGCTACAAGGAACCAAGGTACCTTCAGAAATGGCAGTTCCAGGTTGGAGCATGGACTATAAAAGATTATGCTTGGGTCACCTTCTGTGCCAGAAGGTTAGGAGGAGGTCTAACAATGCCAGGGACACATCAAAATGATATACAAGCCACCTCAGGAGGCCCCCACCAGCTAAAGCTGAGACAATATGAACATCAAAATAAATGACAGTCATAAAATACAACATCAATAAACGAACAATCCAGAGTTCACGTTAATGTAAATAAAGGAGTAAACAAATATGTGGAGAGAGGGGAAAGTGCTCCATACAGAATGCCAACTAATAAAAGTAGAACGATACAGGCAGAGAATCACTCTTTGGCAATCTTCAAGAGGTAGCAGATTCAGGCAACAACAGGGTATTGGTATAGCACTGGAGTACTTTCCTACAACATACTAATGAATGCAAAGGGAATCACTGTGACTTTACAGTGAAGAAAACTGGGGGACCCCAATGATTGGGCAATGGAGGTTAACGTCACCAGTGGTGGGCTGGATCTCCAGAAAGTCATTGCTGAAGCGATGCAGGGCCAACCACAGGATCACTTCTGTGGCATTCCTGCCAAGAAGGCACGGCCCCGTCGCTGTTCCTGTTGAAATGTCAGAGAGACCCAGGTTAAGTAAGGTCAGCCTACAGAAGGAGAAGGTAAGGTCTGCACTTCTTAAAATGCTGAGGCCACGAAAGGGAGGGAAAGGGTGAAGAATTTTTCCAAAGGAGATTGACAAGTCAAAAGTAAACATAAGAGGAACTATGTGGAATTCTGGATCAGAAAGAAAAGAGAAACACTGCTGGGAAAGCTGGGGGAAATGTGAACCCTCGACAGTGGTTATGAAGGAGAATATACTTGTTTTAGGGAAATGCACAATGGAGTATTTAGGAGAGATGGGGAATCAAGTCTGCAGCTTGCTCTCAAATGGTTCAGAAAAGATGGTGTATGTGGGGCCTGGGCACGTGTCTCTGCGTCTGCAGAGGGAGAGATGGAACAAAGGCAGCTAACTATTAAGACCTGGTGAATCTGCGGAGAGGGGAATATGGTTCACGGACCTATTTTTTAAGTTTGAAATTATTTTAAAATGATTTACTATGTGGCCAACTAATCTTTGACAAAGCAGGAAAGAATATCCAATGGAAAAAACAGTCTCTTCAGCAAATGGTGCTGGGAAAACTGGATGGCGACATGCAGAAGAATGAACCTGGACCACTTTCTTACACCAGACACAAAAATAAAACTTAAAATGGATGAAAGACCTGAACATAAGACAGGAAGCCAGCAAAATCCTAGAGGAGAAAACAGGCAGCAACCTCTTTGACCTTGGCTGCAGCAACTTCTTATTTGACATGTCTCCAGAGGCAAGGGAAACAAAAGAAAAATAAACTATTGGGACCTCATCAAGATAAAAAGCTTCTGCACAGTGAAGGAAACAATCAGCAAAACTAAAAGGCAACCAACGGAATGGGAGAAGATATTTGCAGATGAAATATCACAAAAAGGGTTACTATCCAAAATCTATAAAGAACTTATCAAAATCAACACCCAAAAAACAATCCAGTGAAGAAATGGGCAAAACAGACACTTTTCCAAAGAAGACATCCAGATGGCTAACAGACACATGAAAAAAATGCTCCACATCACTCATCATCAGGCAACTATCAATCAAAATGAGATACCACTTCACACCTGTCAGACTGGCTAAAATTAACAACTCGGGCAACAACAGATGTTGGTGAGGATGCAGAGAAAGAGGATCTCTCTTGCACTGCTGGTGGGAATGCAAACTGGGGCAGCCACTCTGGAAAACAGTATGGAGACTCCTCAAAATATTAAAAATAGAACTACCCTGTGACCCAGCAATTGCACTACTAGGTATTTACCTGAAGGATATCCAAAGGAGTGCTATTTCGAAGGGACACACGCACCTCAATGTGTACAGCAGCACTAGTGACAATAACCAAAGTATGAAAAGAGCCCAAATGTCCATCGACGGATGAATGGATAGAGATGTGGTATATATGCACAATGGAATATTACTCGGCGACAAAAAGAATGAAATCTTGCCATCTGCAACAACGTGGATGGAACCAGAGTGTATTATGCTAAGCGAAATAAGTCAAAGACTAATATCATATGGCTTCAGTCACATGTGGACTTTAAACAGATGAACATAAGGGAAGCAAAAATAATATAAAAACAGAGAAGACAAACCATAAGAGACTCTTAAATACAGAGAACAAACTGAGGGATGCTGGAGGGGTGTTGGGTAGGGGGCGCGAAATGGAGGAGGGGCATTAAGGAGGACACTTGTGGGGATGAGCACTGGGTGTTACATATAAGTGATGAATCACTAACTTCTATTCTTGAAATCATTATTACACTATATATTAAATACCTTGGACTTAAATTAATAATAATAAAGTTTAAAAACAAGAAAAGCATGAACTTTCTAAGAATGAGTAGCATCAGATATATATAATAGGTAAATCTTAAAGACAAAAATGATTTAAAAGAATTAAGTAATTCCTTTAAAAGAATTAAATAATTAATGTCTGTTGTTTTTATAACAAAAATCTACTACTCCATCATTTCAGCATTTTACTATATTCTATTTTAGACTATGTACATATTAACACAAAATTTTTACATAATTGTAATTATAGAGTAGATATTTTATATTCAGACGTTCATTAACGTAAGCTATTTTTTCATGTTACTACTGAGCCATCATGATGATTATTTTTAAGAGCGCCATTACATGTAATTATGTCTTCTTCATATATATGGTGTATGAAAACCTGAATGTGCAGATGAAACAGATTACTCTAGAGCTCATAAAACCGTATGTTAATTTTTTTTAACGTTTATTATTTTTGAGAGAGACAAAGCATGAGCAGGGAGGGGCAGATAGAGAGAGAGAGAGAGAGAC